TGTCTTGTTAAAGGGAAATGAAGTCTGGAGTATAGTTAATAGTTCTTAAAAAGTCAGTTTAATTCACATTAATAAAAGAAAGGATAAAAGCCAACAGGAGTATCTCAAAAGATGCAGAAAAAGCATTGAAAAAATTCAACACCCATTTCTCACTTAAAAAAAAAAAAACTCAACAAACTAGATAGAGAAAAGAGCTTCAATCTGATCAAACAAACACAAACCTCCAGTGAGCTCCTATTACTTACTTGATGAAACACTGAGCACTTCCCCTACCATCAAGAACCAGGTAAGAATGAATGCCTTCAGTATTTCTAGTCTTTCAAAGAGGTCAAAGAAATAAAAGCACAGGTAGAAAATGAGGAATTAAAGTGTGTTTATTAACAGGCAACATGATTATTAAGGTATTAGTTTTCCCCCAGTTCGATGGAAAGATAACAGTGTGTTCTCTATCAAAATCCCCATCAGATTTTTAGTAGATATTGGCAAATCAGTTACAGAATTTATATCGAAATTCAAAGTACCCAGAATAGCCAAAACAATCTTGAAAAGAAAGACAAAACTGATTGATTTACACTACCTGCTTTCATGCCACAGTAATCAAGACAGTGTAATATTGAAAGGGAACAAAAGAGGTTCCAGAAAAAGACCCAAACTTAAATGGTCAATTAAGTCCCAACGTAAGGACTAAGGCAATTCAATAGGAAAGGAAAGTTTTACAACAAAGAATGGCGCAACAATCAGACAAACATACAGAAAGAAGTGAAACTCATACACACAACACATAAATATATTAGTAGAGAGAGACCATAAACCTAAACTACAAATAGCTAATACTACAAAGCTTCCAGAAGAAAACAGGCTAATATCTTTGCAACTCTGGGATAGGCAAAGATTTCTTGGGTCACAGAATTACCTGGTCTTCATCAAAGTTAAATTTTCTGCTCATGAAATACACCTTTAAGAAAATTAAAACATAAGCCATAGCCTCAGAGAAAATATTCACTATACACATAAACATCCATCTGTCTATAAACATCTACCTGTCTATCTAGGGGCACCTGGGTGGCTAAGTCAACTGAGCGTCTGACTCTTGGTTTCAGATCAGGTCACAATCTTGCGACTGTGGGATCAGGTCCCAGTCGGATTCTGTGCTCACTGGGGAGTCTGCTTCAGATTCTCTCTCCCTTTCCTTCTTGTGCTCTCTCTCAAATAAATCAATCTTGACAAACTTTATCTAGAATACAAACAGTAGATACAGATATATATATATTCTATGCAGAACATATACAGACAATATATATTCTCTATGTGGTGTATATAAACTATGTATAGCATATATGGACAAAGATTAAAAAGAACGTTCATTTTTTTAAAAAGACTAAAAATGGACACAAAGAAGATCTAGAAGTGGAATCAGCACATGGAATGGTGCTCAATATCATTAGTTATCAAAGGAACACACACTAAAACCATAATGACACACCAAGTCAAAGGACTACACGGAAACGACTTAACACCATCAAGTGATGGAGAATGGAGATTCTCGGGCAGGACTACGGGGAATATAAAATGATACAACCACTCTGGTTGTTTCTTATAGAATTCACTTCTACTCTCTCGGTAATTCCTTTTGTAGTTAATACCAAGGAAAACAAAAAGATACATCCATTAAAAGATATATAAAATAATCTTTATAGTTAAATTATTCATGACTTTTAAAAAAAAGGAAACCCGGGCGCCTGGGTGGCTCAGTCAGTTAAGCATCTGCCTTCAGCTCAGGTCATGATCTCAGGGTCCTGGGACTGAGCCCCACGTCAGGCTCCTTGCTCAGCGGGGAGTCTGCTTCTCCCTCTACCTCTGCTCCTGCTTGTGCTCTCTCTCTCAAATATCTTTTTAAAAAATATTTTATTTATTTATTTGCCAGAGAGAGAGAGAGAGAGAGAGAGAGAGCACAAGCAGGGAGAGCAGTAGGCAGGGGGAGAAGCAGGCTCTCCCCTGAGCAGGGAGCCCGACGCAGGACGGGATTCCAGGACCCTTGGGATCATGACCTGAGAGCCAAAGGCAGACGCTTAACTGAATGAGTCAACCAGGTGTCCCATAAATAAAGATCTTTAATTAAAAAAAAAAAAGGGACACCCAAATATCTATTATCAGGAGAACGAACACGAATGGTATGACCCTAAAATGGAGTGAACTGCTGACACACAAAACTACTTGGTAAGTCTCAAAAACATTATGTTGAACAAAAAAAAAAAAAAAAAAACAGTAATAATTACATACTACATGATTAGGAAAGACTAGTATCAGGTGACAAATAAGAACACTTTCTACCTCTGAGAAGTCAGGACTGACGAGAAAGCAAGAGGGAACATTCTGGGGTCACAGAACTGCTTCTGACCAGAGGAAGGGCGGTAACTTGAACAAACAATGAACTGTACACCTCAGATCTGTGCCTATCACTGACTGTAAATGGCACCACAATTTAGAAAGTAAATATTTTAAATAGTGCACAGATTTCTTTACACTTCTCTCAGTACTCCTCCTCTACATGAAGAAAGTATCTAACGTAGGAAGCCTGTTTAAACCGCGTGTGAAGACAACAAGCACAACTGGCCCTGGGCATCTTTAATAATTATATCCTTCTCATCTGTGGCGAGTACAGTGATTTCTTTGTTCTAACCAAGCAAGAGCATTAATTAAGAGGAGTCACCTCAAGTAGGCTTTCCAAATGAAATGAGTCCTTCGCTGCATCGTTTCGATGCTAATACGGACTCAGAGCTCCTAGAATGAGGTGGTCTGAAGAACCGCACCGTGTACCGTGCCTCCTTCCTCGGCTCTAAGTGCACCCCGGAGCCATGTCACCTCCAAAGACAGCTCTCTCTCCAGAAGATACTTGATAATGGAAGGCAAGATTACCATTTTTTAAAATAATAACCCACTTGTGCTTTAATATTTTAATGAATACAGTTCAGAACTCAAGGTCTGAAATACCTAGATCTATAAGTCAGACCCAGAGGGCACTTCCAGAAGGCACCCAGGCAAGGGTAACACTGCTTTTCTTTGACTGCTTCACAAAAAAAAGAGTTTGTATCTCCAGAGTGCACTGGACCTTTTCTCATTCTAAAGTATCCTATAAACCCAATATTATCAAAGGGTAAAGAGACTATTACCTAAAATACTGAAAGAATAAATTAGACAAATACCAATGAAATTAATTTTCCAAACTCCAAATCCCACAAATAAGCAGGACATGGACTAGGATTCCCTGTCAGCTGTTCACCACTGGGACTGATCTCTGCAAGGCCCATCTGTACCTTCCCCTTCTCTCCTTTCATGGCTTCTTAAGGGTTCTTTCTTGGATGTCTCCTGCCTGAATCAGCCTCTCCCAGGTCTGACCCAGATGTGCTCCAGGCCCTGGAGCAGGCAGAGCACTACAGGATGCAACCTGCACGCAGCTCTGGTTTCCCCGAAGCTGGGGGCAGCAGCTGCTCGGGGCAGTGGTTTGTGACGCAGGCACAGAGCGGTCATGACGAGGGGAACTATCTCTAATTTAACATCTTCTTCAGCTCTGTCTTGGTCCCTTGTCCTGGTTCCTTCTACAACTGGAGAATCTGGGTAAAGAATTCTCTGTACTATTCTTCTATACTATTCTTCTATCTTTTCTCAAAGTTTCAAATTATTTCAAATAGTAAGAGACAGAAAGCACAAAAAGAAAAATCAAATTTAGCTTGTTAGGGAGGAGAAAGGATATGTCCTGGAAAGTGCACACAGTGTACACGCTCATATACTCTGTCACAGCACTGTTAGGGAAAGTAAGAGTAAATAAAATGTTCTGTATACTGAGTTTCTAAAGCACTGGCATAAGTACCTAAAGCAGATGACCTAAGCCACTGAAATACCACTCTTCATGATCTTTTGGGAATAAAGAGGGGGAAAAGTTATTACGGAAAATAACTGAGAAAAGAAACATTAATAAGAAAAAACAGTTTTTAGGGGCGCCTGGGTGGCTCAGTTGGTTAAGCGTCTGCCTTCGGCTCGGGTCGTGGTCCCAGGGTCCTGGGATCGAGCCCTCCATCGGGCTCCCTGCTCCGCAGGAAGCCTGCTTCTCCCTCTCCCTGCCGCTCTGCCTACTTGTGGTCTCTCTCAGTCTGTCAAATAAGTAAAAAATCTTAAAAAAAAAAAAAAAAAAAAAAGAAAGAAAGAAGAAAGGAAGAAAGGAAGGAAGGAAGGAAGGAAGAAGAAAGTTTTTAAACCAACAAATCCTAAAGCTATAGAATGATTTTATGGCTTACATGCTTGGCCCACCAGACAAGTTCTAAGGTTGGAAAACTGAATTTATTAAGCCCTATGCCTCGTACCACCTCCATTCATCCAAACGACATCTATTTTGCAGACCAGCCCACAGGTCACCTCTTCCACAAAGCCTCAACGCCTTCCCACCCACTTTCCCTAATGGGCTCTGAGACCCACTCCCAACCAGAGGGCCCCTCCATGAGCTCCTGAAGCAGGGATCAGAGCCTCTGCTGGCAAGCTTCAATTCCAGGCTTATGTCACAGGGGGGCAAGCTTCTCAACCATCCTCCTTTCTTTTAACACCTAAGACAGCATCTAAATACAGGAACCTGGAAGTATTTTTGTAATAATGGTCATAACTAACGAACAGTAACTAATTTAAAATGATTACAGCACTCCTTTCAAAGCACTAACACGTGCATCACATTTTTTAAAGATTTCTACCCACGCCCCCATAAAACCCTGAAGACATTCTAACACTTAAAAGGCAAACAGCTATGTGGAAATCACAGCTCACCAGAACTCACTGCCCAAAGACTCTAGAAAGCTCAGGCTTTTTACTGCACTCATAGTACAAAGAAGAGATGTTATCAACTTTTCACTGACGCTAAAAAAAAAAAAAAAAAAAAAAAAAAAAATGCTCATTTTAAATCTGGGAAAAAAAAAAACACCAAAATTTTGGACTCTTTTTAAAAGATGAACAAATACCTCTTCAGTTTCAGGAGCAACCTGGGGGTCAGTAATCTCATCTAATTCATCTTCAGCAACACAGTCTTCCTGCTCTTGCAGCCCTTGTTGCCCACAAGCCTGCAAGTATTCTTCATCCTAACAGCCATTAAAGAGAAAATAAGTCTTCCTCATATAGCTTTGGGTTTTTGAAAGCACTTTTTGTCTTCACGACTCATGCTTCATTATTTTAAGCAAATTTGACTACGGCAATTACCCGATGAAGCAGAAAGCACGAAGCACGCGCATCAAATGTGGCCTCCCCTATGTTAATGAGGACAGAGTGCAGTATGCTGGCCCCATCGCTAAGGTTAGTGACACAGCTCGGCTTCAGCCCCCAAGCGCCCTGATAAATAGCTCTTCTTACAATCAGCACTAAGGAAAAGCAATCTTCAAAAGAATGTGCATGTGCTCGCATAGTGCAGCTCAGCGGCAGGAAGGGAGCTGAAGTCACACCCAACGTGCACCATTTTTACAGCAATAAAAGGCAACAAAAGTATAAGCCATTCAATTCAACACAGGAGCTTTATTAAAAATCATGTTAGAATTTGCTTCTCCATCAGCCCATCCCTTGAATTAGAGGGGTGATTCCAGGTTTGTATGAAATGTAAGGGGCATGTCAGCAGGCAGACATCCCTTGAAGGGCATATGGGAGGAAGCAGACAAGCTGGCTAGAAACAACTTCAAGAGAAGGAAGGGCTCCTACAGATACTACTATCAAGTAACAAGAACATCGGGCCCTATGCGGAGGAGCTGAGCTTGCCAGCAAGCCCGCTCACGGGCTGGAATGAACAGTGGTTGGTTACAAGACAAACACCAAGAGTGAGCACGTACACACCTGAGCAAACAACTGTGGGGGACACAGAAGCCACACCTACAACCCCCAAAGAAACCAGCTGTATTCAAGGTGACAAACTATCGTAGGTCCCACAAATGTCTCTCAAGGCTATGTGAACACACCGTATCTCACTCTCCAGAAGAAACCATCCCATCAAAAAGAGAAACTATCACTACCCACAATTCACTGACAGCAGAACTGCCGGATTTCATATAAGGCCAGACGATGCTAATCAAAATTTTCAGCTAATATACAATGGAGAACAGTCTATGCCACTGGATCCTCCCAAGAAACAAAAATCTGCTACCCTTCACATAAGTTACCCATCTGAAATTGTTTTTACAGAACAGTCTTTTATGAAATCTCAATCTACGGTAATTTTTAAAACCCCAAAAAGATTGTGCTTAAAAGTATACATCACCCAACAATTTTCTCATATTTTGTCAAATAATAAGGGATCATCTCTTAATACAAGAGTACAAGTTTTTTTAATCAAATCCCAATTCACTCTCAAGAACAGGACTGGCGAAATTCACAAAACCCAAGGAAGGTCTTAGTTTTGAGTATAAGAGGAAAGAACATGGAGTTCTACTACCAACTTCTAAATGTGGACCTCAGCTTCTTCATATGCAGAAGTGTCCCTTCCGATTGTAAAATTCAGTGGCTTTATGACTCCATTCTTAGTCATATGCAAAATCCATCCATGGGATTTTAATAGTGAGCCCCAACTGACAGAATGTGCTCACGCTCAGCGTGTCACCCAGGTGGATTCTAGCTTTCGAGGACAAGTTAACAATTCCCAACTAGTACACGAAACACAGTGAAATAAACCATCTGATAAACTAAAATGCCACTGGGACACACAGGCACGCAATCTACTGGTTCGCTTGGTCGGCTACTCATGAGTAATTCCCTCATGGTGCACCAGGGGCAGCCTGCGAAGGCAGGGAGCCTCCCCAGCTCCGGAGCTGGAGCCGGGTGCCAGATGAAGGCCAGCTCTCTCCTCCGTCCAAAGAAAAGGTAATGGCACACTCCACCACCGTGCTAACTACGAAGAAACCAACAATCCGAAAGAAACAGGGAAGAGAGAAAAGAGTGGCCATAGCTATGAAGCTAAATGTGCTGAGGTGAGCGGACACGGCTCACAGGACACTCGCCTCACCTTTCAAGTTTACAGCTCCCTGTGAAAATATCAGGTCACTTTCAGAAATTCTAAGAAAAACTGTTTTAAGACTTTTTAATTCTGAAAAAAAAATTCATTCTGATGTGGAAAAGTACTGTAAGTATACTAACTGCCACATTGTTTTTCTTTTTGATACCGGACTCTGAGACCACAAGATGTCGGATAACTAAGTTGGATTTTATACAAGCGGGAGCCTAAATGTAACCTCTAGTTTGACAACGGAACACAAGAGAGGGAAAGTCCTGACTTGGGAGAATTCTCTCCTCAACAAATTCGGCCAGAAGGCCACAGTGAGAAAACACATCCTATGTGGCACCCTAGTGCTGTCAAGCAAGCACCTTCCACACTTATCTGTTCCACCACAGAAGGCAGGGGTCATGCCTCATGTCTCATGTCTTAGCAAAACTGGTGCCCCTTGTGCCCGGACATCAGTAAAGATGTGCCGAACTGATGAACTTACAAGGGAAATGGACCCACATACGACTAACCAATCATCTTCTTTTACCCATCAATGAACGAGAGAAATAATAAAATGCTCTAACCAGGGAATAACTAGGTACTTTTTTAAAAGATCTTGGCTTAATCTTTAAGAAACATTTTAAATTTATAATATCCCACTTTCAGATAGTATACAAACACACCAGTAAACCAGAAGAGAACCCGTCCACACCAGTGAAGGATTTACTACCAAATCATTACCATTATCAAATGAACAAGTAGCCATGATGTCTTTTACATGATTCTACTTACCAAAACGACACACATTTTTTCATTACTGTATCTACTAAAGAGAAAACATTCAAAACGAATCAAATCTTAAAAATAACTACTGAGATAAACACAATTATGATTAGAACTAAATATTCTAAGGTTCCTCATAAACGATCCCTTTCAAAATTACTCCCATTTATAGGTACGTATGACCAATGACCAAAATTCAGACTTTGAATTTTTTTCTCAAAAGCAAGCTTCCTCTGAATAAAAACATTAAGAGATTAAAGGCGAAGCTAAGAGCCCCAACTCCACGCCTCCAACCAGCCCCGGCGGGCCAGCTGACAATGCACCTCAGTGGAGCGATAGTATCATGAAAACCCTAAGATTCTACGGCCGAATATCACGTCCTTCCCACACAAATTTCATTAAGTGCTTATTTTAAAAACAAGTATCTTCTAATGATGAATCAGAAAGACAGATGAGCAATCTTTCACTAGTACCTTTTGCTTTCTTGACAGTTCAACTTTAAAAATAGCTACCAATCAAAACCATCTTTCTGAAACAGAAATCAGCACAATCTTTGCTTCCTGATTACAGATAACAAATTATGTGTGACATTTCCAAAACTAACCTCCAATCTCTTTATTCATGTTTAGACAGTTCTCAGTTACAAAAAAGGATGAATGAACAGGACATCAATCACTCTGGAATATTAGCACCTTAAAGATGTCTTTAGCAGGTCAATAATCTTTTCACCTTGGAAGGACTTTATCAGATCTTGTCTAAAGCCTGGATAAAAGCTCTGCATTAAGTACTTCTAACAATTGACAGTGTATCTCCACCACACAAAGCTGTTTTCTTCCTTAAGGTGCAATCCTCAAGGTCACAATTCTGTGCAGCCTTCCAGAATGACAAAGGGGCATTACCTCCAGCCAAACAAGCTGTCAACACAAACTTTGTCATAGCTCAGATAAAGAAACTGGCAGACAGTGATAATAAGGTCTAATTTCCCTCCCTCCCGAGGGAGGGGAAATAGATTTCAAATCAGTCTAGAAACCTATGCCCAGGCAGCCATGTTATCTTCGGCCATACAAAGGAAAAGACTCACTGTGAATTCATCTAAAGGCTCATTGATCTCGATGTCTAACACTTCATCATTGTACAGCTGCTCCTCCTCGGGCTCCTCCACATACTCCATGTGGTCCTCTGTCAGCTCAGCATCGTGGCCTTCATACTGTCCTTCTTCCGGGTACTCGTGAGCATACAATTCAGATCCGTCGGATTTGTGATAAACAAGTTCATCCTCTCCTTGTTCATACTCAGATTCCTGTTCCCCGGATTGCTCATTAGTGTTGTCAGACAGTTCAAATGACGTGACCATGCCAGATGTGGTATTTAAACTAATTGTGACACCCTGAGAACTAAAGAGAACAAAAATACAAAGAAAGGTGCCCAATGAGAATCAAGCCCGAAATTAAACCACTACGTAAATAACTGTTACAAAGACGTAGACCATGACTGGTGAAAAGTTGTTCCAATGACTGATAAATGCACATTACTCCATCTCAGGTGACCGAGAGCAGAGCTCAGCGTGCCATACTGAGCCTGCACCCCACGCTCCTAACGCAGACAGCACCTGCACTATCATCAGATGCAGGTTATTTGCCCAAAAGAATCAGATCAACCAGATGGGGAAACAAGTCTGACTGGCAAAACTCCAGGACTGAAAACAAATACACTATATTTCATTCTAACTTCCAGAACGAAAAGGGTGGTATCTGTTTTCCAAGATTCCAAAGTAAAAACAGGAGTATTACTCTATAAACAGAAAATCAGAGACCGAATTTTAGAACAATCTGTTCTTTTTAAATCTATGATGCAAATTATAAACTCCTATTTAAAAAAATCAAAATATTAAAAATGTGTGAAAAGACATTTCAATATTCAAATAAATAAAATTTGTACTAATCACCAATTTCAAAAAAATTAGTTTATAATTTCTGAGTAAAATACCAAAGAGGGTTTTAAAACCGAAAAAAAAAAAAAAAATTTTTTTTTTATTCCACCCACTGAATCACAACAGCTACACGCCAAACACTAAACTGCCAGATAACAACACTTACAGGGCAGGATTTTGCAGAAAAACCTAAGTGCACACATATCAATTAGGTTATCTAATCCTAACAAGAAACCTGAATACACCACACAGATTTAAAGACATTACCTGGCTAAAAACTCCAAACTGCCTTATTTTGAGGGCAAACTTAACTCAAAAGATCAAAATATAATAATGATGTCAAAGAATGGAACTGGGAAACAAATAACCGGGAGAAAAAACTAACTTAAAACTGTATTTCTATCCATAAAAATTACCTTAAGTTAGAACATCTGTTCAATAATAAATGGCTTATATTTATTAACCTCATTTATAACCGAGAGAGGTCTCTTTGAATTTTCACTTTAGGTTTCCTCATAACATTGAAAAAATTACTCCACCGACCAGAGTGTACTAAATACCTCTTCCTCTTATAATGGAGCTTACTAGTCAACAACAAAAAGACATTCATGATTGCTGCAAACTGGATATTTGTGTCCCCCAAAAGTCATCCTGTTGAATCCATAACACACCCAGTGTGATGGTGCCCAGAGGTGGGACCTTTGGGAAATGACTGTAAAGGTCAGAATGCTGGAGTCCCATTGATGTAAATTAAATTAGTGCCTTTGCAGAGAGGGCCCCAGAGAGCTCCCTCACCTTTCAACCCCGTGAAGACATAGCAAGAGGGCGCCATCTATGAACTAGAAAGTAGAAACTGACCATGCTGATGCCTTAACCTTGGACTTCCTAGCTCCTAGAACTGTGACAAATAAATTTCTGTTATGAACTACCCAGTTCATAACGTTTTGTTAAAACAGACGAAAAAGACTAAAGTAACTATGTTCACTAAACAATTACATTCAGATAGTCAACTCGAGTCTAAAGTACAGTCCAGAGGCGCCTGGGTGGCTCAGTCGGTTAAGCGTCCGCATTCGGCTCAGGTCATGATCTCAAGGGTCCTGGGCTCAAGCCCCACGTAGGGCTCCCTGCTCAGCAGGGAGTCTGCTTCTCCTTCTGCCTCTTCACCCCCACTCCTCAGTCTCACTTTCTCTCTCAAATAAATAAAATCTTAAAAACATAAAAATTAAGTACAGTCCTAAGGAATTTCCAAAATGGCAATTCACTAAACCGATTACATATTAATAAAAAGTCTAAAGTAAAAAACAAAAGCAGCAACATCAAACTGCAGCCAACAGTAATAAGAGCCTAAGGCCACTGCCCCCATCCAAATAAAGGAATTCTTCAAAAGAGCAGTACATACCTTTACTGAGTTTTCATAACCTGCATTCAACAGAACTTAGAGAGGTCATCAAATGCAAGACCAATACCTATTTATACAAAAATATATATGGCTTCCACATAAGAGAGCTGTATTAATATCCTGTTTAAAATAAAATCATGTTGAAGATATATCACATTATCAATGATATCCCATTATAATTATAAATTAGTTACTAACAATTTAAAGAAAATTTTTAATGAGCTAATAACGAATACCTGAAATTTTCTTCATCCTCATTATCACTCTGTAAAAGATCATCATTCAGCTCTTCATCTGACAAATCCGACTGATTCTAATTAAAATAAGAAATCTAATTAATGCATGCCACTTCCACACAGGCTTGTTACAAATGTGCAAAATTACGTTGACTGTATTATTTCTAACCTTGTTATTAAAACATGTGCCATTCAGTAAGCTATCTCACTTTGATATGAGCAGTTGACAATTGAGAAATTCCACATATGGTATACTTGTGACCCCAGACAAATTTTCAGATGCAGAGTCAAGTAATAAGTATAGAAACAGGCTTAATGATCACATTTATTCTAAATCTAACAAAAAAGGAAAAAGAAGAGTCCTTTAGCAGTATCCTACATTCTTCCCTATCATACGCAAAAAAAAGAATGGTATCCTTAAGATTTGACTAAATTTGATTTCACTCATATGTGGAACTTAAGAAACAGAGTAAGAAAAATGAAAAAAATAAGAGGCAAATCCAGAAACAGACGCTTCACTCTAGAGAACAAACTGACACTCACCCGAGGGGGAGAGGGTGGGGGGTGGGTGAGATGGGTGATGGGGGTTAAGGAGGGCACTTCTGTGAGGAGCACTGGGTGGGGTAAGGAAGTGATGAATCACGACACTGTACACCTGAAACTAACATCACACCACATGTTAACTAACAGGAATTAAAATAAAAACTTAAAAAAAAAAAAGATTTGACTAATTTTAACACTGTTAGTATCCAAAATCTGAAGACTTTTTAAACAAAAGAAGTAGAATTTTCTAAATAAGCAGATTTTAGTGGCGCCCAGGTGGCTCAGTCCATCAAGCATCTGCCTCCGGCTCAGGTCATGATCCGAGGGTCCTTGGGATCTAGCCCCACATCAGGTTCCCTGCCCAGTGGGGAGTCTGCTTCTCCCTCTGCCCTCTGCTCCTCCTTCCCGCTCATGCTCTCTATCTTGTGGTGCTCTCTCTCTCTCTCTCAAATAGACAAAATCTTTAAAAAAAAAAAAAGGAAGAATATTTTAGGTAAGTGGATTGCCAAATTGAAATAGTAAGGGACTAAAACAAAACGAGTTTATTAATAGAGATGACACATGAAAATAAACATGCCTAGCTCAGGCCCTCACCCCTGCTCTCGACAGGCCTGTGCATTCATCGCACCAGTAGGCAGAGGAAGCCTGGTGATTTTGTCAACTGCTCAACTTTCCACAGTTCCAGGTTTTGTTAAGTTAAATATATACCAGTATTGCACACTTACATGGGGGGGGCCTTCACATTTTCCTCCCCTATTCAAATTTCTTTCATGGTATATAAAAATTACCACACCCCCCCCAAAAGAGGCCCCTTGTACACAGACATATTAGGAAAAAAGTAAAGATAGAAAAAGGAAAAAGAGAAAGACTTGATTTTCTACTTAAAAATGAAACAAACAAGCAGTCTTTTCCTGGCATTTTATAGCTTATAAAAATAGGTTTCTCAAACTTATCTATTCATTCTTCATTATAGTATTTTTGATACAAGCCAAAAAATATGAACCTTATTAGTTCTTACTGGTCTCAAGGGTCTCTACTTAATGGCTGACAGTATAAGATAAAAATAAAATAACATGGGGTGCCTGGGTGACTCAGCCAGTTAAGCATCCGACTCTTGATCTCAGCTCAGGTCTTGATCTGAGTTCAAGCCCCAAAACTAATAATAATAATAACATAACGTAACACAGACCATGTAGTTTTCTTGAAGAAGGGAGAACAGATCTGTATGAAAAAGAAACAGACCTCTTAAGAGGGCCAAAATAAAGTTTTGCTTAGTTGCCCACATAATCTGTCCTCTACCAGAGGAGATGAGCCAGGCCTGCCTAAAGTTAGCTGTCCAATTTATTAAATAAAACCACAGGAAATCTTTAAAAATTAACAATTCAAAGAAAGCCAAATTTCATGAGAGGCTGCTTGAGTTTTTTAGTTAAATTTTTAAATACTTGTCAAAAATCAGTGAGCAAATAAATAAATCACCCAACAGAAAGGAATGTATGTTGTGGTGGGCCCTGATGGTAATCAGATCCTACTTCTGCATTCTAAAGATTCAACTTCCCGAAGGGATTCTGAATGTGATGAGTAATAAACACAGGAGGCAACTGATCAAGATACCCACTTAGCTGATAAAGCAGAGATGGAGAGCTAGACTCAATCTCTGAGACACAAACTGATTTTCAACCAACATCCCAAAGAACTGAAGTGAACGGTTTCCTCAGGCAAGGGTGGAGTCACTAGGGAGGATTCTGTTCTGGGTGGTCTGCAGTAAAGTAGAGCAAGCACAACCCCAGAGAGGAAGAGAAAGTAGCAATGAATGCTAGCAAAATCCTTTCTCCCAACCCTACCAGAGGAAGAGGTCATTCCTCTCCTGGGGAGAGAGACGAGTATGAAAGAAAAAGAATGCTTCTCCGGGACTCCCCAGAAGATGGACCATCTATTAGAACATCTGGAACTGGCATAGCACAGAGCACCTGTCCGGCACTAGCTGCTGCAGAAGTCAAACAGAGAAACTGAAGAGGGGGTCACGTGCTGGCAGGCAACCAGCCCCTCAGGCTTCCCCCAATTTCTCAAGGCTCTGGCTGGGTCATGCCAGCATGCTTCATCTTGAGTTTGCATCCTCTCATTTTTAACCTATATTTAAAAATTTCATCCTAACAACCTCCCTTCTTGACCCCGATGGCCGTGTCCTTGATTGCCCCTGTTGGTCTGATGATGTCACTATACTCAGTGCGTGGCTGTGCGGCCCTCTGGCCCACCAGCCCAGGAGCCTCTCTCCAGACAAAGCTACAGCTCCGTACATTTCGTGGGACACAAGTGGGGGAAAGACAGTGGGCAGGCAAGAGTACCCGTAAGAATAAATTAGCTAGTAAATACCCGACAAAATACTCAATCTCACTAGAAACCAATTAAATACAAGGTAAACTAACCAAAAATTATTTTTCATCTATCTCACTAACAAAGATTTTTAAGAGAGAAGTGGTCTCAAACCTGGGGGACTGGGAAGGTGAAAGACTTGTTCATACACCTGCTGCTCAACTGATCAAATGCTGCGGGAAAGCAACTGGACAACAGGAGACAAGAGTCTTAAATGTTTACACCCTTAGGCCAGAAGTTCTCCTTCATGGAAATTTGCTAAGAAAAGAATTTCAAAAGCATAATAACATTAGTACACTAAAATAGCATCATAATGTCTGAGATTCACTTCAAAATAATTCAGGAAGAGGAGTGAGTGGGCAGAGATAAGGCAAAACTGCCTTTAACTGAAAGCTGCTGAAGCAGAGTGACAAACGCATAAGGGTGACAGTCACTCTGCTCTCTTCTTTTATATATGCTTAAAATTTTCCATAAAAAGTTCTTTAAAAAAAAAAAAAGTTATAGCACAGGGACCTGGATGGCTCAGGCAGTTAAGGGTCTGATTCTTGATCTCAGCTCAGGGACATGAGTTCAAGCCCCTCATCAGGCTCCACGCTGGGCATGGAGCCTACTTTAAAAAAAAATTTTTTTTTAATAAAAATATAAAAATAAGTCATAGCAATGAGCTGGATACAACCCCAGTGAATATAGGAATGGCTAGGTATACTATAATTACACAAACTGAAATACTATGTAGCCATTATAAAATATCTTGAGAAACATTTCACGAGGGGCGCCTGGGTGGCTCACTCCGTTCAGCGTCTGCCTTTAGCTCAGGTCATGGTCCCAGGGTCCCGGGATCGAGCCCCGCTTCGGGCTCCCTGCTCCGCGGGGAGTCTGCTTCTCCCTCTGCTTCTGCCTGCCGCCCCCCCCCGCTTGTCCTCGCTCTCGCTCTCTATCTGACAAATAAATAAAATCTTAAAACTAAAGAAGGAAAAGAATTTTCCTGTTCCATGACAACAGGAAAATGCCAATAATACAATGCTGAATTAAAAAGCAGTGTTTTTTATGTATAATATTTAAATTATACTTTAAAACATATGAAAAAGGGGCACCTGGGTGGCTCAGTCGGTTAGGCGACTGCCTTCGGCTCAGGTCATGATCCTGGGGTCCCGGGATCGAGTCCCGCATCGGGCTCCCTGCTCGGCGGGGAGTCTGCTTCTCCCTCTGACCCTCCCCCCTTCTCATGCTCTCTCTCTCTCTCATTCTCTCTCTCAAATAAGTAAATAAAAAAAATTTTTTTAAAAGATAAATAAAAATAAAACATGAAAAAAATATAAGGATATATGCCAAAATGTCAGTCATGAGGGCTTAGATCTGTTTTTTTCATTATTTCTCTTTTGATATATCTGAGCTCTTTGATTCCTACGAGGTACAGCGTTAGGAAAGAAGAGAAGAGGAAAGGGGGGGGTATATACACTGTTCCCAAGCAGACAAACCTCCCAACTGGCCAAGGTGGGTGAGGGCCCTGCCACCGAGACGGAGGCAGCAGGCTGCCGCCCTCACGCACTCCTGTCCCAGGGGAAATGAGGCCAAGTCCCACCAGTCCACTAGTCCAATAAGAGAAAGTGACACTACTTCCCCAGGAGAGTCAGCATTACTATCCAAACCAAACTGCTTTTCCATCTTTATTGGTAAGAGACCTGACCGAAGCTTTCACAAGATGGGGACAAATGTCCACCAAAAGGAATTACTAGGACTGGTGGGACATCCTGACAGAGACACAGGGCAAACTATGCTGCCCCAGGCTTGCCCAAGGACAGAAATCCAACTTACATAAGAAATATCTTACTACATTTAAACATTTTAACATCTAATTGGTATTCTTCCCTAAAGTATCTTAAACAATTCCAAAGGAAAAAAACGTGTTTACATTAGAGTAGTGAACTCCCAGGTACAGTGAGAGCTCTCAAGGATGTGCAAAGTAATTATCACTTGAGTCACAAAGAAACCAGTACCACTTTCCCCCTGTGACCATGACACAGGAAAGACTAGCCCTGCACCCCGAATCACATGACATATGCAGGGCACCCTGAAGCCAGAGAGTGAGCCCCTCAAACAAGGAAAGGCTGAGGGGCCATCTCACAGGTTTTTCACTTTCAGTATTTTGCTGTTTCCCCACGTACTTACATGAGATCAAGTGGATCTACAGGGAACTAAATTAATTCTTACTGAGAGTTACAGGTGATGAGAGCCACTTAAAAGAGGAAAGGCTGAGGCAGGCTGAAGCCAGGCCACCTGAGGGCCAGTGATGCAGTAAGAAACAAGACAGAGAAAGGAAAGTGGCTTCAAAAGAATCCTATAGCAAATTCATGTGTTAGCAAAAAAGCTAATAATGCAACAGAGTAAGTTATAAGAAAATGGCAACACTGGTACTTCTCCCACTACAAGATCTTCATTAGCTTTATTATAAATGATATTAAAAGGAAAATATAATCAGGTCTAATAAATCAGACAAATGATGTGACCTTATCACCTGAAAGTATAATGAGCTTATGTACAATACCTGTGGAAGGTAAGAAGCCACCACAATCTTAAGACTTTAAAAAGCTAAGCATAAAAAAAGTACCTTGATATTTAGTAAGAACAGCAAGTGTTTTTAAACCGTTGATAAATAAAATAAAAATTCACTATTTCACTTTAATCTGTGGATTTGTATTTCTATTTTTAATGTATGTTTTATAATGTTATTGGTAGAGTAATATAAACATACACATACATTATATATAGATATACACAAATCAGAGTTAATTACTGCAAAGTTTTGTTTCATCAAAAAGGTTTAGAGAAACCTACATTAGGTTTGAGGCTAGCGCCCTCACTTACCTGAACGCGCGCTGCATTTGAGAACAGCTATCCCTGAGCTTATCTCCAGACTTTCAAAAAGGGAAGGCAAACTATCAGCCTCCAAATGTTAGTTTCGTGAGTGAGTGGTGGTTTTATGTTACTGCTTTCACAAACTCAACACCTGCTGGAGTGCATCGGTCTGAGTGAGAACTAAAATATCTGCATCAAAGGACTGATCACTTGAGGTAGAAGCTACTGGAGAACTTACTAACAGACTAAACAGTCAGCTCTCTGTGCATTTAAAAGATAATTCAATTCACAACACTGTAATCTGCACCCAAACTTCCAGTACCACATCCCATTCATGAGATATATTCCTGTATGTTCAGTACAATGATGCAGCTGGAGGGTGGTTTCAGGAAGACCTCAATTTCTTACCTTTTTGCCAGACAGCAAATCTTCTCCAAGTAAGTCATCTTCAAGTTCACTGGGGATAAAGAAAAATAGGCATGCCAATGCATTATTCCTACAACACTGGAAAGTCTGCAGATCACTGGGAAATCTCCCCCAGACTTCAGGGTTTGGGTATTTTCCTGTTTAGTTTGCTCTGCTTCCCTTTTTATTAATAATGAGAATGTAGTCAAATATATAAGGAATGTGTGGTCTTTTAAGTGTGGGAGGCTCTGCGAGAGGAGGTGGCTCTCCCTAGACTTCTGATCTCAGTTTTCCACCTCAATATGAGATCTTTATTTCTTTGGACCTGTTCAGTAATCATTAAAAAAAGAAACTACAATAGTTAACATCTATGCTTTCTCCTGCCTTGAAAAACCTATCATGAAATAGGAAAACATGTCCAACATCATTAACTAGGAAAGTTAAAACCAAAACCACTGAGAGACCATTTGACACTCATCAAACTGCAAAACCTGAAAAGATGAAAAACACAAGGCTGATGAGAGCATACAAGTAAATCATCGTGACTAAGAGAATTATCTTTGTAAAAGATGGAAGTCCTGTCAGTCTGAAATTTTTTTGTCAGCATGCTTATGTTCTGAAGTGATCAGGAGCAGATTATGTCACAATTAAATTCAAAACCTTTACCAAATCAAAAAGCTAAAGAAATTTCCCGCTGTGTGTGTGTGTGTGTGTGTGTGTGTGTGTGTGTGTGTGTGTGTGTGTGTGTGTGTATTTTGGTTGATGAAGATGGCTACCACTGAATTATATTAGCTCTGGGGAACCCAATGTCTTTTAAGGACAACATCTAGAAGGAGAAAATAATCAGATTATGCTACCAGGTGCAAATGCACCAATATTCTTATTAGGGCTGTTACTCTATTTATAAGCACGCTGGTTACAAATTTCTGTAGGTTTTGGACACAACTTTATCCAAAAACCATGTCTACTTGTAGTGTGCTACTTTGCGGAATACCAGAATATACAGGAATGCCTGCTGGAGTTAAAACAGAAATGCCTGTGTCTATACACCACCTTTTAGAACTAGAAATAATTCGACAAATCTTTTCATTCATGCACTGAACACCTTTTTGTTATCTTGTTACCCCATATAAGCCCTATACCCTCATTTTATAGATAAAGAAAACAAGGAAAGGAGACTAAAGAATCGGCCCCAGTCACACAGCACGGGCAGACCCAGGACAAGGGGTTACCCATGGGGCAAATCCCCCACAGACCTGTACGGTAAGACAGCTGGCTATCAGAGAGTAACAGGCATTTTTTTTTCCACAAATTTCCACAATCACCTACACAGCTTTCAAGATACAATGTCTGCATCTTCAGTGTTAAAACCATCCTCTATGAGTGAGGAACAAAGGATCTAGTCACCACACTGACAGGAACTCCATTTGAGAACTGATTCTCGATGACCAAACAGACACCTGCCCCTTGAAGACAAGCACCCACGCTAGGCCATCACTCTGAATAACTGAAAATGAAAGGTACCACCACCTGCTCAGGGGATACTGAGAACTCTTAAAACCAGAGCACAGAAAGGCATCGGTAAATACACAAGCAAAAATCTAGAAACTATCTGTACTATCTGCTAACAAAGGATGTATACGGAAAAATCTGTCTTTGATGACTACACACTTTTTCTAAACAAAAGCATTTCTGGGCGCCTGGGTGGCTCAGTCGGTTAAGCGACTGCCTTCAGCTCAGGTCATGACCCTGGAGTCCCAGGATCGGGTCCCGCGTCGGGCTCCCTGCTCCGCGGGGAGTCTGCTTCTCCCTCTGACCCTCCCCCCTCGCATGTGCTCTCTCTCTTTCTCTCTCTCTCAAATAAATAATCTTTAAAAAAAAATAAAATAAACAAAAGCATTTTTTAAAAGAAGATAAGGAAAACTAACAGTTATAAATGAGTGGAGTGTACCGAGATGGAGAATAGCTGCTTCCATGACTAACAAAGACAACGGCATGAAATAAGCAAGCAGGATGGGAGACAGAAGGATTAGGTCCATACAACCACAACAGACATAAATTACAGCTCAAGAAATCGTGAGCATCCGTTCAGTGTATTATGTGCCAGGAACCATCCTAAGTGTTTCACATGTATTAGCTTTTTTGTTGACATGACAACCCCATTACGTAGATATTTACATCATCCCCCATTTTTTTAAAACATGAAAACAAAGGCACGGAGATGTTAAATAACTGGCTCAAGGTCACCCAGCTAGGAAGTGGCAAAGTCAATAGGCGAACCCCCGAGATGCTCTAGCTCTGGGGTCCAAATCCTAACTACTATGCACAAACCCCACGCAGAAAGTAAATGTACTTCCCTACTGTCATCATCAAGTTGGATCCTTACAAAAGATGTACACAAAAGGAAAGAAATTTATAAAATATAAAACAGTCACTGAAAACAAAACGACAATGAACTCCTGGGAGCAACCGGCCCAATCGGGTCCTTTCCAAGAGCTGAGCCGCAGCGCCCCTGCCGATAAAGGCAGCTGAGTCAGGAAAGGAGAGCCGCACAGGGCGACTGCGAGGCGTCCTGGATCCAACTGCAAGGCTCCTCAGGCTCTCACCATCACTACGTAAGAACAACCTCCTTGGCCACTGTTCTCATCCAAGACTAGAGACAACCAGCTCTTTTAGAGCAAGTATACTTTTACTAGTCAACAGGTGTATACTGAAAGACACTTCCAGGAAACAAGTATTCTGTAGTCAGCCACATGGCCGCAGCCTTTCAAAACCACAAGTGAAGTGATAACAAACCTTGCACTCAGTCCCTTTCCTTCGGTGCGCCTCCCCTCTCCAAGACACCCTCCTCCGATCTCTGCCAACTCTGTTTCCGGGAAGCTTTCTCTGGGAAGACCCGTGCAGGCTCTTCTGGCCTTTGCTTCTGGATGGCCTTGGCCCATGGGATGACCCAACGGGTCATTACGAAGCCCCTCCCTGCTACCTGCACAGTCCAGTCCCACCCACTGCTACCACTGCAACCCCCACTGGGCTCTAGGATGCACTTCCCCCTCGGGCCTGCTGCTATGCCGGGAACACCGCACCAACTCTTACTGCTTCCTTAACCCTCTCCTGTAAATAGCTCCATCATCCAATGACTTCCAGTTAGAGCTAGGAGTATGCCGTCTTTCTCCTGCATGAATACAGAGTGATACAAGCACATCCTTCAGAAAAAAAACACTTCAGGGGCTGGCTCAACAATGGCACCAGGTTCTTCCAAACGCAAGAGCTGGTCATGACTCCCAGCTGGTCTGACTCCCTCTTCTCCTTAGCTTTCAAATTTCTCCCTCTATTATCCAGTACATGGAAGAGACCGTCTTATGCTTTTAAAATATCAAAGAAACACACATGATACAGAACCTCCACACGCAACATGCACTGAAGACGGATGAAGAAAGGAGGCGCTTGTTGGTAAATAATGCTGGGACAGCTGCCATTCACGCCGGGGAGGACGAGGAAACCGGAGCCCCGCCTCCCATCATCACCAAACCCAATTTCCATGAAAGCAGAAAGCCAACTAACTTCTGGACAGCTCGAAGTCCCACTGAAAGGATACTGGAATGGTTCAAATATTAATAAAGATAACAACTGCAATGAAAATACACATGCAATATTTAAATCTATGAGTTGGAAAGGATTCAAAAACAAAACTCACCTTTGGAGGATGCTAAGGAACTGACCCATTATTTTGAAAACGGGTAAATAAAAGTAAAGAATCAAGCACTTATTTAGTACCTCAGAGGAGCCAAGCAGTTTGCAGAAGTTAACTTGGATCATTCATCCTCCTGCGCATTTTCCAAACCTAAACCTCATCAACGTCTAGACCTATTAATTTACAGAAAACGCAAGAGATGAAAGAGCACACTAACACTCCAGGGGTGACAATCAGCAAAAGCAGAAACTCCACAAGACAAACCACCTTGTGTCTTCAAAAAGTTGCAGAGAACTAAAAAAAAAAAAAAGATGCATGAAAACCTACAGATGAAACAACACTTGGAAAATCTACCTATCAGTTGCAACTAGGGCTCTAATGTGGACTCCACAAACTATAAAACAGCATACAAGACCCATATCCACACTGTGTTGTGTGTGAGATACACTGATATTTACACGAGACAATCAGTCATAAGACATTAACATTCAGGGAGTTTTTCAAAATATAACTCTATTGTGGTTGTCTTTGTAAATCCTTTGTTTTTTTAGAGAGATACAATCTGAAGTATTTTCAGATGAACTTATGTATGTCTATAATATGAGGAGGGTTGCAAATTACAGATAAAAACAAGACTGACTTTATACCAATAACTGTTGAAGCTGATGGTACACTGGGTACTCTGTACTATTCCATTTTCACATTTTCTTGAAATTCTCAGTAAGTTAAAAATCAATCAATTTAATCAATTTCAGGCAAATTATGTATCTTAACTATAAAAAAATAAATAAAAACACTTCACAATTTTCATAGGAACATGCAAAACATACCAGAACACAAGGCAGGGAAGAATTTCCTAAGGACAAAAAGTGGAAAGCAGCTTGACCACACACCTCCGTTAAGTGATGCCCTCGGGAAGGCCACAGCATTGCCAACGAGTATTCCTGACCAAATACACAACCTAAATCTAGTTCTGAAGAGACACCTGCAAATCCATGCTAAGGGTGAGTCTACAAAATAAAGAGCCTGTCCTCTTCAAAAATGTCAAAGTCGTAAGAGACAAGGATACATAATTCTTCCAGATGAATATAAGAGGGGACAAAATGCACTGTATGATCCTGAACTGAAACTTGAACCAGAAAAAAAGAAACTCATTTTTGGCTATAAAGCCCACTTGGGAGAACTGTCAAAACTTGAATAACCGCTGTAGATTAAAAAACCCAATTCTGTGTTTGTTAACTTCATGATTTTGAAATGATCCAGTGGCTATGTAAGTGAATGCCCCTGCTCTTGAGAAGCTCACCAGGAAAACTACATGCTGAGGCACATGGGAAGCACACAGCCGGGTGCCCTCAGACCACTGTTAAGAGGAGTGGGGGGAGGGGGGCCTCGGTGAGCAGGTGTGCAGAGGCACAGAGGACAATGGACATGGCAGGAAGCAACTGCGAGTCTGGGGGCCCAGGAGAGTGTCTGTGACACTCTTGCAACTTTCCTCCAAGCCTGAAAATGATTCCAAAGTACACTGTGTTCGTATTTTAATAAAAAAGAAAACAAAAGCCATACAGGAAAAGATGATACATTTGATTACATTATTTATAAAAATCCACCTGAAGGCTGCTATTTCAAGGAACGCATGTCACAGACTGGGAGGAGATATCTCCAAGCACAAAAAGTAAATTGCAAAAAGTATAAAGAATCCCTAAGATCAATAAGGAAAAGACAAACAACCGTAAAAAAAATACACAGAGATATGAACAGACAACTGACAGAAGAGAAAATCCATATGGTGAGTGAACTACTAAAACACACGTTTTTATTCCGCTCCCCATCACAATCTTTGAAACAGAACGACGTACCAATACCGCGGGGAGGCCATTTCTCTTACAGGAGATTTTGTTGTAGGCTCTAAGTAATTTTTCATGGACTGCCTAAGAACTGCTGAAGAGTAATCATCTTTACGTAGGCTCTAAGTTTGTAATGTATATAGTTTTTAATGCAGATTATTCTGTAAAACTCCTGGGGCATCAGTTTTCAAATGGCAATCAGGTAATTCTTTTTACTGAACATCACTGTTGTTCTTTATTCAGACCTATTTACCTTTATTATTAAATTTTCTGACTGCAACTACGAGGTAATTTTTTACATTTTCACACAGTATTTAAGATCTTAAGAAATATCTTAACTCAGTCGGTTAGGCGTCCGACTCTTGGTTTCTGCTAAGGTTGTGATCTCAGCATTATGAGACTGAGCCCTGTGTAGGGCCCGTGCTAAGCGTGGAGCCTGCTGAAGATTCTCTCTCTCCCTCTTCCTCTGCCCCTCCCCCATGCTCTCTAAAATAAATAAATCTTAAAAAAAAAAAAATGTAAATAATCCTCATTTGAGAACCCCACCACCCAGACTATGCCCTCATGAACTTCTCCCACTACACATCCCTCTAACTGCTACTAGAGCTGCTCACCACAAGTAATCACTATACAGAACTGACATTTATCACTACTATGAACATTCTGAACACCTTTAGTGCATGTGTGTGTAACCCTAAAGATATTTTCACTTTCACTAGTAACCAGAGAAATAAAAATTTAAAATACAGTGAGATACTATCATATACATATTAAATTGGCAAAAATTTTAAAGTCTATAGCCAAATATTGGGTAGACTAAACAAAAGAACTCTGGGATCCACCAAATCAATACCACCATTGTGAAAAACACAACAGACAGAACGGACAATCAGGGCCCTACAGACAATACAGGCCTGGAACTGGAGCCCACCAGAAAGCCTTCTACCTGGAAGGCCTGCCCTTGCCCTCCCTTCAGCCCAGCAGGGACAGGCCCACTAGGGAAAGAGCACCAGGAAGCCAACATACTGCTCTCAGTAACGATCTCTGCAGAGCCGGGGCGCCTTGCTGGCTCAGTCAGTAGGGCACGCAACACTTGATCCTGGGGTTCTGAGTCTGAGCCCCACACTGGGTGTGGAGATTACTTAAAAATAAAATCTTAAAAAAAAAAAAAAAAAAAAAAAACTCTGCAGAGCCAGGTGGCAGAATCGGAGAAATCAGCACAGACCACAAGTAACCGGGTGTTCTGTACCTGTCCCAGTCCTCGTCTGCAGCTCTTCTTCTCCAAGATCGCTCTGCTCCAGGCTTATCAAACTGGTCAAAGTCATCATCTGTGAAGGAGAGGCCATGAAAGTCAGTCTTACTAAATTAAAACAGACACAGATATTCAAATACTGACGGCCCCTGACTTACAATGTTTTAACCTATGATTTTCAACTTTACAATGCTGCAAAAGCAATATGCATTCAGTAAAAACCATACTTCAAATTTGAATGTGGGTCTTTTCCCAAGCTAGCGACATGCGATACGATTCTTTCTCATGATGCCAGGCAATGAGCAACAGCCACAGCTCCCTGTAGCCAAGGGATCATGAGGGTACACAACCAATACACCGACAACCATGTGTACCCACACAACCATTCTGTTTGTCACTTTCAGTACAGTATTCAATATGTTACATAACATAGTCAACACTTCATCATAAAATAGGCTTTGTGTTACAGGATTTTGCCTTAAAGTAGGCCAGGCTAAGCTATAATACAATGTTCAGCAGGTTAGGTCTATGCATTCTCTTTTTTTTTTTTTTTAAGATTTTATTTATTTATTCATGAGAGACAGAGGGAGAGAGAGAGGGAGAGAGGGGGAGAGGGAGAGGGAGGGAGAGAGGGGGAGAGAGAGAGAGAGAGAGAGAGAGAGAGAGAGAAGCAGACGGAGAAGCAGGCTCCCAAGGAGCAGGGAGCCCGATGTGGGACTCGATCCCAGAACCCTGGGATCATGACCTGAGCCGAAGGCAGACGCTTAACCATCTGAGCCACCCAGGCGCCCAGGTCTATGCATTTTCAATTACAGTATTTTCAATTTACAGCAGGCTTATCAGGACATAACCCCGTAAGCTGAGGAAGAGCTGTACTGAAACAACCTGTTTTTTCTAAGGATTCCTGACATGACATTTTAAAACGTAAAGGTTCTGGCTCTCTGCTCCTCCCCTCTTCTTGCGCAGTACCAGCTGCACCCGAGACACGGTGCTGAAGGTCTACATGTTCCAGTATGATTCCACCAGGGCAAATTCAATGGCCCTATCAAGGCTGAGAACAGGAAACTTGTCATCAATGGAAAGCCCATCTCCATCTTCCAGGAGCGAGATCCCACCCCCAAATGGGGTGATGCTGGTGCTGAGCAGGTTGTGCAGTCCACCGGGGACATGGAGAAGGCTGGCGCTAACTTGAAGGGTGGAGCTGAGAGGGTCATCATCTCTACCTCTTCTGCCGAAGCCCCCATGTTTGTGATGGATGGGCATGAATCATGAGAAGTATGACAACTCCCTCAAGATTGTCAGCAATGCCTCCTGCACCACCAACTGCTTGGCCACTCTGGCCAAGGTTATCCATGACCATGAATGGCCCCTCTGGGAATGTGTGGTCTTTTAAGTGTGGGAGGCTCTGCTAGAGGATTTTTACAGGATCCTGGAGGTCAGGCTAATGTCAAGCTAAGGCTGCCTTTTGCCTCTAGCAAAGTATTAATGTTGAGGCAGCCGGGCTCCTTGAAGAAGGTCACCCTGCCTTGTCCCAAGGACTTGTCAATGGGCTGCAAAGGAGATTTAATTTTTTCTATAGTTCTTTTGCCTTTATTCTCACTTCAAGAGACTATGTTCATGACTCAAGACTCATTATTACTGAAATGTCAATTTCTCCCCAAACTGATCTATAGATTCCACATAATCCCCATCAAAATCCTAGCCAACTTTTCTGTAGAAATTAAAAAAGTGATTCTAAAATTCATATTGAAATACAAAGGACCTAAAATAACCAAAACAATTCTGAAAAAAGAGCATGTTGGAAAACTAACATTGTCTGATTTTAAGAATTATTAGAAAGCTGTAATAATGAAAACTGTGGTGTTGGTATAAAAATAGACAAAGAGACCAATGGAACAGAACAGCCTATCGAGGACATACGTGGACAACTGATATTTTACAAAGACTCAAAGAAAAGTCTTTTCAAACGGTACCAGAAGAATTGGATCACCATATGGGGGGAAAGAGGGGGTGGGGTGGAGAAAGAGAGAAGAGAAAAAGTGAACCTGGACCCATTCCTTATAAAAACACAGAAAAAACTCTTTGTGGTCCCTGGGTTAGGCAAGGACATACCGGTGACAGCAAAAGCACAACCAATAAAGGAACAAAATGAGAATCTGGACTGCAACAAAATTTTAAAACTTCTATCCTCCAGAAGTCATCATTAAGAAAGTGAAGACAAGCCAAACTAATAGTAAGTCTGTGCAAAGTACGTATCTATTAATAAAGGACCTGCATACAGAAAATATTAAAAACTCTCAAACTCAACAATAAAAACTCAACTTTTTCTAATGGGAAAATATATTTTTTTAAAGATTTTATTTATTTTAGAGAGAGAAAGAGAGCCGCAAGCAAGGGGAGAAGCAGAGGAGGAGGGAGAAAAGAGGGGGAAAGAATCTCAAGCTGACTCCGAGAGGAGCCTGGACACAGGGACCCATCAACCGCTGAGATCATGACCTGAGCCGAAACCAAGATTCAGATGTTTAACTGAGTGAGCTGCCCAGGCATCCTTAAGGGGAAAAATATTTAAATAGAGACTTCACCAAAAAAACATGTATATATGACAAAGAGCCTATGAAAAGATTCTCAACACTGTCATTAGGGAAATGTAAATTAAAGCCACAACAATACAGCAGGACCTATCTATGAGAATGACTAAAATTCAAGACCTACTACACCAAGTGTTGTCAAGAATGTGGAGCAACTGAACTCATACTCTGCTGACAGGAATGTGAAGTGATACAACCACTTAATAAAACAGTTTGGCAGTTTTTCTTTTTAAAGATTTTATTTATTTGAGAGAGAGAGCACAAACAGGGGCAAGTGGCAGAGGAAGACACAGGCTCTCCACCGAGCAGGGAGTCCGATGCAGAACTTAGTCCCAGGACTCCTGGGATCATGACCCAAGCCAAAGGCAGACACTTAATCGACTGAGCCACCCAAGGTGCCCCAGTCTGGCAGTTTCTTAAGAAGTTAAATATACCCCTACCACATGATCCAGCCATTCCACTCCTTTGTAACTTACCCAAGAGAAAAAAATATATATATAAATCCATGCAAAGCCTTGTACACAAATGTTCACAGGCACAATATTGGTAAAAGCCCAAAAGTGGAAACAACCCAAATGTCCATCAAAAGGCAAACAGATCAACAAATTGTGGACTATCTGTAAGTACAATACTCAGCAATAAAGGAGAATTAAATACTGATACACTCAACAACATGGATGACCTTCAAAATAATTATGCTGAGAAAAGCCAGACCAAAAAAAAAAAAGAACACATACTCTCAGATTCCTTTTTATAAAATGGTACTGTTAAAACAGTAACAGAATCAGCATTTGCTCAGGGACAGCAGGGCAGGAAGCAGGAATTAAAAAGGACACAAAGACACTTCTGACGATGACACATTCATTACACTGACTGTGGTTGTGGTTTCATGGATGTATACATATATCCAAACTTATCAAACTGTATGTTTCAAAGATACGCAATCTCCTGTTTGTCAATTACACTTCAGTGGAATCAGTTTTTTAAAAAGATTAATTAAGAAACTCCAAGAAACTCTGGTCAGGGATGAAAAAGTCAAATGTCTACAGTAAGTACACAGGGGAATATAAATGAGCAAAGCAGACTGGGTGGGAATTACATCAAATTAGCAGGACTTTACCTTGTTTACAGACAGGAGCATTACCACGTATTACAGGGAACGCATGCCCAGTGAAGGCAGATTCCAACTTTTCAAGAGAAGACAAATATATGGATTGTTCCTTAGTTTTTAAATGTAAGCAACTAATTCAAGTTTCTGGGGGCATCTGGGTGGCTCAGTGGGTTAAGCATCTGCCTTCAGCTCAGGTCATGATCCCAGGGTCCTGAGATCAAGCCCCAAGTCGGGCTCCCTGCTCAGCACAGAGCCCTGCTTCTCCCTCTCCCTCTACCCGTCCCCGCCGCTTATGCTCTCTCTCTTGCTCTCACAATCTCTATCTCAAATAAATAAATAAAAACCTTTAAAAATAAATAAATAAATTCAAGTTTCTGTGTTAGCTGTCCTTCCTGCCCCGGATTACATACTTCATGAAAACAGAGCGTATTCCCCAGCTATGACAATGTGAACGAAGTCCCAACATTTTATAAGCAAAAAGGTTTGTTCATGGCTTTTTTCACATCAGTTCACAGTGAAGGTATTAATGGTCACAATCACTCCTGGCAGACACTGCTAATTACAACACCCAATTCTGCTGAGGACAGAAAACCTTTATGCCAAGGTAACAATCACCTAGAAACCTTAAAAATTATACAATCCCTGGCCCCACCCTGCATCGGATTCAATGGGCTATATTTTTGTTTTTTAAAGCTTCTCAGTAATTGTAATGACAGCGAGAGCTGAGAATCCCTGCCCCCAGTCGACCATAATCCATCAGAGAAGATATGCCAGAAGAAAATTTAACTGTCATCTTGCTATATAAGTACTTCCTGCTGTTAAATCCACAAAAGTCAAAATTAGAAGCCAGGATTATGCAAAAATAGTTAAAATAAATACTTCTCCAAAGGAGAGACCCCCATAAAATGTCCAAGAAAATTAAGGATTAGTGCAAGTTAAGCAGAAACTATGAACAGAAGTAAGATCATGAAACCCGATTCCTTCATTCAACAATTATCTGAGCACCTAATGTATGCCCGGCATTGTTCTAAACACCTGACATACAGGGGTGTACAGGATAAAAATTTCCACCACGTGTAGGTTACAGTCTAACAGGTACAGACAAACAAAATCCCACAAACAAATATATACAGAAAACAAGGAGGAGGGTAGTGGGAGGTGCTAACCAGGCTGATTACAATTTTAAAGAGAATGATCAGTGTAAAATGCATTTAAAATGTACATGGGAAGCGCTGCCAATATAATTAATGATACAGTAACAGCACTGTATGGTGACAGATGGGAGCTAAACTTGTGAGCACAGCATAAGGTATAGAGGTAAAGGTACAGAGTTGTCAAATCACTATCTTGTAACCTTGAAACATGTAACGTTTTATT